AATGAACCGGATTTTCTAACATGTTTGGTAGAAAATGAGCCACGGACTTATACGGAAGCCGTAACGTCTACCGAAGGACCTATGTGGAAAGAAGCCATCAAAAGTGAGGTGGATTCTATCCTAAAAAATCACACATGGGAATTGGTTGATCTCCCTCCGGGATGTAAACCTTTGGGATCCAAGTGGATTTTTAAACGTAAAATGAAACCGGACGGTTCCATTGATAAGTATAAGGCCAGACTTGTAATCAAGGGATACAAGCAACGTGAGGGCCATGATTACTTTGACACGTATTCTCCGGTGACGAGAATAAATTCCATTAGGATGATACTGGCAATTGCCGCTTTGCGGAATTTGGAAGTTCATCAAATGGACGTAAAAACCGCCTTTCTAAATGGCGATATAGACGAAGAAATCTATATGGAACAACCCGAGGGTTTTCGTGCTCCTGGCCAAGAAAGGAAAGTTTGTAAATTAATTAAATCATTGTACGGATTGAAACAAGCCCCTAAACAGTGGCACGAAAAGTTCGATCATGCAATGTTAATTAATGGGTTTAAAATAAACGAAAGTGACAAATGCGTCTATGTGAAAAGCACGGTAGACGGCTATGTCATTTTATGTTTATACGTGGATGATATACTCATCGTGGGTAGTAATAATCTAATGATTAATTCTACCAAAAGCATGTTAAATTCTAAATTCGACATGAAGGATATGGGGCTGGCCGATCTAATCCTTGGGATTAAAATAATTAGAGGACCTGAGGGTCTGACGCTAAGCCAATCTCATTACGTGGATAAAATCCTTACTAAATTTAATAAGGATGATTATCAAGAGGCAAGGACGCCATTAGATAAAAACGTACACCTGACCAAAAATCGTGGAGAGTGTATTTCTCAAGTAGAATACGCTAGGATTATTGGCAGTTTAATGTATCTAATGAGTTGTACCAGGCCTGATATTGCCTTTGTGGTTAGTAAGCTTAGTAGATATACTAGCAACCCCGGTGATGAACACTGGAAGGCAATAGTAAGGGTTTTGAGGTATTTACGGAAAACCCAAAACCTTGGACTGCACTACGGAAGATATCCAGCTGTACTTGAAGGGTATAGCGACGCTAGTTGGATATCTGACATTAAGGACTCTAAGTCCACGAGTGGATATGTTTTCACTTTGGGAGGTGCAGCCGTGTCGTGGAAATCCTCGAAACAAACGTTAATAGCTAGATCCACGATGGAATCTGAGCTAATAGCCTTGGATAAGTGCACTGAAGAGGCTGAATGGCTACGCCATTTTCTCGAGGACATTCCAAGTTGGGAGAAGCCTGTCCCTCCAATATGCATACATTGCGATTGTCAAGCAGCAATTGGAAGGGCACAGAGCAATCTCTATAATGGTAAGTCTAGACATGTTCGTCGTAGACATAACACCATTAAACAACTTCTCACAACGGGTGTTATCACTGTTGACTACGTGAAGTCAAAGGATAACATAGCGGATCCGCTAACCAAGGCATTGGATAGAGAATTGTTGGAGAAGTTGACACGAGGAATGGGATTAAAGCCCGTGAATTGAAAAGTTCTATAGTGAATACCCAACCTAGTTGGTCCTAGGTTCAAATGGGATAACTAAATTATAGAGCGAAGGATGGTCACTGTGGGGGTCCCGGACTCCTACCCACTCCTCGTTGAAACAGTGACTCCCGCACGAGGTTAGCAAAAACGTTTGCTTTAATGATTCTAAAATACTGATCTACTCGATAACATTGGAAGAGTATGCGGGATACTCGTGAAAGAATCACCTATGTGAGAGAGAAGAGGGCCGCTTCAAAGGAGAACTGTAAAGGCTCAGTTCTTTAGAAACTCTTGCAGAACCAGGACGGTGACCCATGGCCAAAACGGGCACACCCATGAGAACGGAACAAAGTTGGAAGGTTCGTGTGTAAAGATATGTCAATGTTTACACGACGGCAGTATAGTTCAAAGACATCGAGTCTACTAGACAGCCAGTAAATAAACGTGTCTTTACGGCGGAAGGTTCAAAGGATTAAACCTACCTCTCCGTATACAAGGATCATCCGGTGAACACAACGTGTCCTCCTATCTTCGTGTTTTTAAGTCTCGAAAATCAATTTTCATTCATGTGGGGGATTGTTGGAAAAAAAGTGTGAAAAATTGCATTAAATGGCTATTTTGGGGCAATTTTTTGAGTGGGGTCCACTTCCGATTTGGGTCGGGTCAAAGTGGTTTCGGATTGTCCTTGTTAAGGGCTACAATTCGATATATGGTACGCTCAAAACGGATAACGGGTGAATGAGAAATCGCTTTTCGAAGTTTACCCGTTAGAATGGAAAAACTGGGAAAAAGGATGGGTTTCTAGTGTTAATTTCCCACACCGGAAAACCCAAGGGATTTGCAACCCTTTATAAAGGGACTCCCCCCTTATGGAGTTAAGATTCTTAAGGGTAAAGGCTCTCTCCACGCGCGCAGGGGGGGGGGGTGCAAATCAAATCCCGAATTCGGAGAAGAAAAACCGCGACTTGCGTGCGCGGGCGACCTGCGGACACGAATGTCGTCCAAAAATCTATCTCTCAAGAGATACGATTAATTTTTGTTTTCTTCCCGAAACGTTTAATTTTTTCCCAGCGGCAGAAGTGCTCGGACAGAAGGCTACGGATCAGAACACCTCGTTGGTGTTCTGATGGCAGAACCCCTCATGGGGTATTCTGATGGCCACCCACCAGAGATGGGGTATTCTGATGGCCGCCCATCAGAGTTCGGGGTACTCTGATGGCCGCGGATCAGAGTTGGGGTCTTCTGATTGGCCTCCGATCAGAACCCCTCCCGGGGAGTTCTGATGGAGGTCTTCTCTCGCACTTCTGAAACGTTACAACGATAAATGCCCAACGTTTATATCTTTTAATGCAGTGTTAAATGGACAGTTCATGGACGATTCAATGCCCAACGGACTGGTCATTGATGTCCAACGTTCAGGTCCATTAACTCACTATTTTCACACAACAAATCCTCCTATATAATGGCTGGCAGGTGATTTACAACAACACACAAGCTTATACACATCCTTCACGTATTTTAGAGCTAAAAACACCTCCAGTCCTTCTGAAAATTTCTGAGTGTTCATACTTTGTTCTCGTTCGTTGGAACTCTTGTTTGTGTGCTCAAACATTAGTTCGTTGTCATCGTATCCTGGGAAACTATTGTTGCAACGCTCCTAGCACCGTGGGAGGCAACAAATACGTTTTAAGGACATCGTGCGTAGCACGAGCTTTGACAAATTTCTGCTCCATCTCCTTTCTTGTTTTCTTTGTCATTTTAATTAACTTATTTTAATTAATTTTTCTTTATTTTCCGAAACACACCCAACAATCCTCCCTCACGCACCAAGGTTTAGAGGCCGTTTGGCAGCACTGTTTTTCGGCTTATCAGGCTTATCAGCCAACTTTTTCACCAAACACGTAATTTTTACTTTCGCGCGCTGAGTTGTGTAATAAGCAGAAAAAGTAAGATTGGAGTTACTTTTCTGGCTGTTTTGGCTGAAGTTACTGTAGATGACCATTTTAGCTATTTTTACGTATAATTTTTTCTTTATTTTATTAATAAAATATATTTTAAAAATAATTGTTTCTTAAATCAGCAGAATCAGCCAATGCAGCCAGTTCAGCCAGAACTTCAGAAATTTCAGCAGAAGCAGCCAAAACAGCCGATTTTCGTGCTACCAAACGGGCTCTTAATTTGCCGCTCTTATTTGCCCATTTCTCTACTCCTCTGCTCCATTCGATTCTACTTCGCTGCCGCAAGATTGGTGCTGCTTCCACAGCTGAAGAAGGAAAGGAAGACCAAGTCGGAGCTCTCATCCCCGATTGTTGATACGGGTGATGCAGCTAGCAAGCTCCTGGTGAGTCTCATGGGAAATCCGTTGAAATCCAAAGAGAGTGTAGAAATTTTGGACCATATTCTTTATTTTGCATTTTAGCTTTGAAATCCACAAAACGTCAGCAATTCAAGAATAAAAAAATCCATGAACATTTTGATGAAAGTACATTTTTGTAGATTCCAGCACTCTATTTTGAGGACAATGAAATTCCTAAAATATTTTAAAATCCTGTGGAATCCTAATTAAAATCCTATGAAATGGATAATCATTAGCATTTACTACGTATATTGGTAGTTATTTGGATGGGGAAGGCCTCCTCTAGTGATGGATCGGGGACGGGTACACATAAAACCGGAACCGCCCCGTTGGATAAATGTTTGCTCCAAAACTACCCCATTACCCATTCGGGTAATTTTTATTTGAACCGTACCCGCCCCAACAGGGAATCGGTTTATCCACGGGTAACCGTTTCTCCAAATGATACCAAATAACCAACTTTTTTGGGAAAACAAATAACCAATTTTTAATCCTACTTGTTATTTATATTTTCAAAGCACCCTAAAACATACAAAAATAAACATTTAAGCAATCAAGGAGACTGACCTAAATTCATTAGTATGACATGCACCCAATATCTCTTGTAACATAATAAAAAAAGTAGTAATCATCCCAGAATCCAAATTTCAAAAATAGGTTTAGGCCTATATTTAGTTTTAGGCCTAAAAAAGTAGTATACTTTTTAGTATTATTTATATGATATATACTATTTATTATACACAATTTAGCATATATAGTTATTATTCTTATATATATAAAGTTATAATTTATTAATAATGTTATCGATCGGGTAACGGTGCGGGTACCCGCACCACAAGTGAACAGGGCGGTTTCGGGGCGGATAACGGGGTGGATTAGTATAAAACCATAACCGCACCATTAACCATTTAAAATATTCAGGTATTCCCCACCCCGTATCCATTCCCCAGTGAAACCGGTTTTCTCCAGTTTGACCAAATCGATTCGGTACGGGTATCCAACGGGTCGGTCGAAATTGTCTATCTCTAGTCTCCTCCGAGTTCTCACACAGTCTCCCTAAATTCCCAAAAGCTCAATGTTAATCGGAACAAATCGGTTGCGAGGATATAGGAGAGAGAGTCAGTGGAACTTCCAGATGGGCCCACAACGGAATGTGCGGCTAACTGCCACACAACGTATAACTCGCCCAATCTTCCTCTTTTTGTCCAATTTGAATTTTCAAATGTAAATCTGAAATTGTTCATCTGCCACCCAGAAAAATGCCTGAAACTAGCGAATCTTTCCTGTTCACTACTTCGGCGCCATCCTCCTCCCACATTATCATGTCTTCTTTTTATCATTTTTTAATCTAAAAAAAAAATAACACCTTTCCAAAATTTCCATAGATAAATGCATTTTGTTCCTCAAGCAGCATTCGCTGTTTTTCAGTAAATAATTCATCTACCAGTCCCTGGTCGGGGGACAACAATGGCGGCAGATTCGGCTTGTCTGATCCATGCTTTTTCCTACGCTTCAGCGACCCCCAATGAAGCCAAACAGGTAAGATTCACCATTCCAGATTCGACCTAGTATCGTTTTCTATCTTCACTCTTCAGTCTTCAGTAGATGTAATTAATTAGCTGGGGAAATTGAATGTGTGGGGGTGGCACTGTGACAGGGGAATGGGATGCACGCGCTGGGGGAATCCATCTCCTTCGGGAGGTTCATGACAGAGTCATTGAGCTGGGAGAAATGGTCCACTTTCTCTCACAATAAGTATGTCGAAGAGGCCGAGAGGTATGCCCGACCCGGTTCGGTCGCCCAGAAGAAGGCTTTCTTTGAAGCCCATTACAGGAGAATCGCTGCGAAGAAAGCTGCTGCGGCGGCATTGCTTGAACAAGCTCGTCTTGAGGAAGATGAAGAAGCAAGTAAAGCCGATAGTGACCTAAAGGTGGGAGATGATTTTATGGCCGGTGTTGATTCTATTGCTGAAGATGATGCCCAGGAAACAGTTTCTGGGTTATCAGAGGATAGCGAACTGGGTCATCAAATGGAGATGGAGAGACCTTTATTATTAAAGGTATGTTGCAGTACCAGTAAAGAATTGCAAAAGTTGATTTTTATTTTTCTATTCGATATGTGTAGATTGACACTTTATAAAAATGGGTTCAGCTGAATTCTAAGAAGAAGGATGAAGAAGACGGGGAGGAGGAGGAAGTTTTATCATCTTCATCATCAGTTCTGGTTATGATAAAGAAGAAAAGATCGGGTCTTTCATCATTTAGGAAGATTATGCCATCACCTTCATCATCTTCTATTCATGGAAAGCCATTGAATAAAGAAGTTCCGTCATCTCCTTCTCCACCACCACCACCACCACCACCAATAGTGTCCAACGTTATCCAAACTCAACACCATCTCAACACAGAAAACATCACCATCACAACCCCAACAAGGATCCCATCAACACCAATGGTAAGAAGTAATGGTGGCACAAATTTGACTGGTGTTGTTGATAAACTACCTTCAAAATCTCTTAGCTCCTTGCTAAATCTATCTGACCAACCAGCGAAAGAACCCGTTAAACTGCCTCCTCCTCCGAAAAAGGACACATCCCGCTTTGCTCCCAATAGTAATAAGAATAATTGCTCAACACCTCTCAGGATGACTCCTTTGGTACTTCTCTCTTTACCCAGTTGCCAGCTTATTTTCAGCAAGGCAAAATTGATTAGCATTCTGACTTTTTTCTCTTGTGTATGTTTAAGGCAAAGACAGAAGGATTGGCAAAGCTTTATACAGTTACCCCAACTTCGGTGGCTGCTTCAGGAAGTAAAACATGTTCTGGCCCAAAGTGGCACTATTTAACTTCGGTGTAAGTTTTTCTGCTTGTTAATGATGTTGAAGGCTTGTATGATGTGATCCCAATCTTTTTGGTGGCGCTTGGTTCAGGTTATTTAAGATTATTGCCTTGGAAGTTAGGAAGGTAATGTTAGATTACCTTGTTTGGTTTTAGTTAATAGATAGATTTGCAAATGAAAGTAATGTGAGAGTACCTTGTTTGGTTTAGGCTATTTAAGATTATTGTCTTGAAAGTTAGGAAGGTAATGTTAGATTACCTTGTTTGATTTTAGTTAATAGATAGATTTGCAAATGAAGGTAATGTGAGAGTACCTTGTTTGGTTCAAGTTTTTAAGATTACCTTGGGAATCTCAGGTCAGGGCCAAATAGGAAAGTATGGTTTATCGAGGATAATCTGATAACTTTTAGTTTCTTTGGTAAAATAAGGTTACCCTGGAAATAGCCAGTTCAAAAGTTGTTACTATTTCACTTTCTGTACCAGTCCAAGAATCACGCGATATTACATTTCTGTACATGACCAAGGTGATTTTATTAACCGGATAATCTTACAGTAATCTTGCATAATATCTTGCAATGTAATTGCATTACCTAAGATAATCTTACATTTCATGAACCAACTGCCTCCTTCACGTTTAGTATTATTTTCTGGAAAAATGTTCTCTTGTGAATGAATGATGACATAACATGTCAATGGCAGTTGTTCCAAGTCTTTGACCGCCTGCCGGAATAAACTGTGCTCTCCTAGTTATACTATGTCCTCCACCACCACCCCTTTTCGCCTGAGAACAGAAGAAAGGGCTGCCAGAAGAAAACAAGTAAAATATTTCCTTCACTCAGTCAAACATCTCTCTCTACTTACGTAATTTTTGGAATTTCATTCTCATGGTGGGGTTATGAAATATTTCATAGAAGCTGGAAGAGAAATTCAACGCAAATGTGGAGGAGGAGGTACATAAGAAGGGGGTGTTGCAAACCAAAGTAAAGGTCCACCAGGTATTCATTATAAAGTGTATACAGTCAAACTGATGTTTTGACTCTTATAATGTCATTAATGGAAGTTTCATGAAACAAATAATGGGATAATGTAGGAGGAGAAGCCAGGAACAGAGCTCAGGAGGAAACTGGGCCGAAGCTTCTGTTTCAAAGCCCGCCCTCTCCCTGACTTTTATCATCATAAGCATCAGGCTGATGATAAAACAGAAGAAGCACCATCACCACCATTAAAACATCAAACCTCAAAGGTATTGTTTTGACCCCCAAATATACACATAACTATGATCTGTCCTAAATGATCATTAACTTTGTTAATTTGCAGAACCACGGGAAACAACCTCCTCAGCCAGTTAAAAAACTTGGAAAGAATGGCATCAATATGCCAGTAGCAAAAGCCGGAGTTCGTAAGAAATCATGATAAAGTTTCCAACTCAAGATCCCCCATTAACAACAGCAGGAACAACTCAAGAAGAATTCTCAGGCTCTCTTATACGGAGTATTGTATATGTACTGATGAAACAGAATAGAATGTTGACTTGTTGCAGGACCTGATAGATTTCATCTTATTAAATTTATTTATCGAATCAGAAGTAGGCAACTTTAATTATCTGGTTTCTTGTTTGCCAGCTAGGGTTGTTAGAAATTTAGGAGGGAGAGACAATGTAAAAAAACTGATGAGAAAGAACATTTATTTATCATTAATATGATTTAATTCAGAAACATGTTGAGTAGTAAATTAGTAATACAACACAATGTCAATTTTCCATGTTGATGGGAATTGGTTAAATCACAATTTTTCCAGTAAGCACATCAATCTTCATCTTCATCATCTCCACTTTCATATTCTCTCCAATTCCCCCCCTTCATGTTAAGTTCAAGCCTGAACAATCATCCTCATTCCTCATATTCATCCGCAGCATCAAAATCGCCGACCAAATCATCCAGAATTCCGGCGGCCGAAAACCAGGAAACGTTCCGGCCGATTTTATTAGCTGCATCCACGTAACCCCGCCACGTGATCGCCCTGTTTATAGAATCAGCGTCGGTAGCCCTCGTTTTGAGGGTCCCCTTGGCCTTGGCTTTTGCTTTGCTGGCCGGGTTGTCGTGGCACTCGGAGCATTGGGGGCGGCCGCACTTGCCGGTGAACTTGGAGTGGTTGGTGGGCTTGGAGGAGACCTTGGTGAATAGGCCGGCGGTAGCGGTGCTGTTGGCGGCGGCGTATCTGTGTTTTGGCGTGATTGGGTTCAACAAATTGGGAGGGAGGACGGGGCAGGTTCGGACCAGACCGTGTTGGCGACCCTCTCTCCTCATTGCAAGGTTATGGTGAGCTTAATTGGCTTTGATTGGTGAAAGAATGAGAAGAGGCCAGGGGTATTTATAGGAAGAAGATGGACTTGGGATGCAAGGAAAAACGGTCTGCGTGTTTCCCAAGTTCTCGTGCTGCCCACGCATTTTTATTTGTTTATTTATCTATTGTTCTTTCGTTCCTATTAAAAGGTGGGGTTGATTTCATGGATGATACAAACTTTAGGAAAGCAAGAGTAGACAATCTTCTTGTCAGGCCGGCCGGCCTGACGGGATGCTCCGTCCAGCCGAGCCCGTTTGGGCACTTCCCGGTGGAATTTTTTGATGAATTTTTTTGAGTATGTCCCTCATCAAGTCTAGTTTTTCCATGCCAAATTTCAGCTCAAAATTCGATCGGGAAGGCATTCAAATCATTTTTTTGAAGTTGACTGCGTCAAAATATACATATAAAACTTCGATCGAATTTTGAGCTGAAATTTGGTATGAACAAACTAGACTTGATGAGGAACATGTTAAAAAAGAACTGAATGCATAAATATAAATAATTGTGTTTTGTTTCTTCAATATGATTTGTTTACTTCTAATAAGAGAACAAAAAATGTTAAATTATCTCCCGAGTTATATTTTAGGAATAAAACATTTGTGATTCTATTTGTAAAAACATGATAGCATGTTAAGTTTTAATATAAAATTTTCTCTCTAAACTAACATGTTTAATCTTTTTAAATTTGACACTGTCCCTTTTCTATATACTAATGTGTATATAGAATGTAATGGTAACAACTTATGCATCATGGCCTCATGGGTACCAAATAACTTAAATTGACATGCTCTATAAAGAACATGTGGATGAGTGGATACACTAGGTGCATTGATAAGAGATGAACGAATGTCATGCATCCACCTCATCAACTTGTTGTCTTGCTCCTTCAAGAGCATCTTGATATACTCCTTAATGATTCTTTTAATTATAATTTATTTTAGAATGTCAATTTTTTACAAAGTTAAATCTAACGACTAAAAATTATAGCTAATACTAACTAGCACAAAAATTGAACTATTAAACTCATTAAATTGCTAAAAATGAAAGATGGCTAAAATTACGCATCTCAGGCTTACCTTGATTGTTCCCTGTTTATGTAATATACTAAGATATGATTAAAAGTTTAAAACCAATTGATTCTGATGATCTGATCTATTTCTGGTTTGGAGTTTTGGACCCTTGACCGGACATACATATGCAAATGCCTTTACATGTGGATCATCTGACGGTGATATGTAGAATAAAAAGTAATGCCACACCTTGTGTAAATCATCCTCGTTTATATCAATCTTCTCTCTTTTGACCCTCTCTTCCCTCTTTTCTTTCTTCTCATACTTATGCAACTCACCCTTATCATCTTCACCATGATAACCTCCCATCTTCACTATCTTTCATCCTCAACAACGTCCATATCTATCAGCTTTCATGTTCATTAGCATAACTTACATCTTTCAATCGGAAGTGAAGTGTCACCGAAAAATAAATCGTAGATGGAGTCGCAAAAAATAAATCGGAGATGGAGATGAAAAATAAATCCAGAAAACAAGCTGGAAATGAAAAGTCAATTTGAATTTTTATCTTTATTTTCATAAAGAATTGTTTGGGTTGTCCAAAATGCTGATAAAATTTGTCTATACAAACAAAATTGAAAAAATAGTTAGGCTCTGTTTGCAAACACAACTAAAAAAACATTTTCCAGCTTTTGGCTTAAAAAAATTAAAAAAGATGTTTTCAAATGACAACTTCTACTTAAATGAATTACTTAGAAGTTAAAAGCTAGAATCTACTTTTTACTTTTTCTATTACACAAAAAGCACTTATTTTACCAAACACCACCAACTTTTACTTTTCAAAATCACTTTTTTCTCAAACACTACCAATTTTTACTATTAATCACTTTTTTACCAAATCATTTAAAAAGTTAAAAGCCCTTCCAAGTTGTGTTTGCAAACAGAGCCTTAATCTTTGTAACTTGTAAGGCTAGGCCTCAAACAAAAATGTTTGTGCACGAACATGGATTTTCGTGTGTAAACAAAATGAGTACAAATAGAATTTTTGTAGAACGAATACTGTAAGCAGAATTTAGATTACTCTGGATTTTACACAAGAAGTACTATTAATGTTGTGGAAAGTAATACGCATATTATTCTATTACTCCATATTAAAGATTTCTCCTAATATTGCTTCCCTGATCAAAATCAACTCCATGTGGATCACATTTGCAAGTTGGGTGTAGTTGACATTGATCATGATATCATTATTTAGATCTATTCAGTCAGTGCTTTACTTTGCAGCATTCCACACAAAAGGGCGGCTGCGTCCTAATGTCGCAATAGCAGCAAGCTATGTCGCAGTCATTGCTGCAACCTAATTAACACAATGAAATCCAGAGAAAACTGTTGTGTCACGTTTTTCTTAAACAAGAAGAATAAAAGGGAAGGAAGTATCATATGCAAATAGCGCTGACCTGTAACTGTGATGTATTCCGCAGCAGATTGCTCCAAGCTTTGATGATTTATGAGAAATGGACAGAGGCGAGTGGTTGCTTGGACAACATGAACCTGTGACTGCAAAAGACAAACTAGAATGCCAGTTGTTAGTGCTACCAATAGCATCTTCATTCTTGATTAATGTTCATAGATTAGCTGCTTGTTGGTTCAAGTTTTTGCTCATTCAGTTTAGCTGCCAAACAGTTAATATAGGAAGGAGCATTGATAATGTTTTTGTTAATGCGTAAGTGTTCAAATGCAAACCTTGTGACCAGAAGAATATCAATATTATAAACATCATTCATTGCATGTGAAAACAGCATATGAATTCAGAAGGCCAAAAAATGATACAGAATCATAACCAGCATAGATCAAGGCCAGGCCATCCTTAATCCATTCAAATGCACTCATACAAATCACAACTTTCTTTTTTTTTGCTTTGGAAGTGCAATTCTTGATTGAAGAACAAACTTTACAAATGGAGGCTGTAGTTTAAAGCCAATACAAATCGGCTCTTTTCATAGCAAGAAACTAACCAAACTATATATAGACAAACATTTCACTCAGTATTACTGAAATTCAACCTCTCCCCAAAGCAACTGTTTGAGCCTCATGGTCAGATCCACTGCTGGCTTCTAATGATTTCTGGCTAAAAATTCGAGCAAACATGCTTTTTGACCTGGCAATAGCTTCTCCTGCAGATGCTCTGTTACTACCGTCCTTGGCAGCCAGTTCATTCAAGATCACCTTCATGCTACAGTCAAAGCGACGCCTATATGTCGGGTATCTCGATATGGATTTTGTTATCCCATGTAGTCTAGAATGACATAATAATATAAGAACAATGTTTATAAGTACTGGTATCATCGAAGACAATAATGAATTCACACAAATAAATACGCAAAAAAAAAAAAAAAAAACTTAAAATATGTACATATGGGATACATATTTTAATATGAAACCTTTTTATTTTCTGTTTTCTTACTAATTTTTATCATATCCAATTCGGATTTTGCACTATAACAAAGCAGTATTTAGTTTTTGAATGTGTAATACTATAATATCATTAATACTGATTTAAAATGAGCTTAATTATAACATGACACCGCGTTTCTCTTCATTTTTCCAGCATTTTTCGCTCTTTTAGAGCCATCAGATCGCATATCAAATGAACTACATTCATTCTCATTTCTTAGATGAAAACCTTTTCTTAAAATATCCAAATTATATATGTTCACATATCAAATGAACTACATTCATTCTCATTTCTTAAATGAAACCACTTCTTAAACTATCCAAATTATATGCTACCTCCATCCCGCTTAAAGGTTCACATTGCAAAATGGTACGGTTATTTAGACAACAATTAAACAAGGTTATTCGAGTTATTTTGAGAAATAGATTTGATGGGTATATCATATAATAAGGCCATTGATGATAATTGTGATGTTATAGATGTATTATTTTTAATATTTGATGGTTGAAATGTCATTTAAGTGCGTTAATCGTTTCCTTAAATAGAAATGGGAACCTTTTAATGGGACGTCAAAAAAAGGAGAGTGGGAACCTTAGAATGGGACGGAGTATGTATGTATGCATGTATACGTCTGTGTTTGTACATTTGTATGTATGATGTATAAGGAATCACCTTCTTGCTAATGCATCAAGCTCAGCCCACCTTAGGTCAGATTCAGGTTGGAGCATATTATTGTTTGATAATTTCAACCTCACCTTATCTGCATACAACAGGACCAATTTCCCGAGGTATTCTTCTTCAGATTCAGAAAGGTTAACAGCCTTGATTTGATCTTTCATAATCAGGAGTGGATTGAGAAACCAGTCATAGAAAGCATCTTTCGGCCGATTTGTGCTACTTATTTCAGTAGTACTACCATCATATTCTGCATAGGGCAAGTGGAGGAACTTCAATGATATGTCACCAAGTCAATGACTTCATTTAGGGGACAGCAATTAAGACTGACAGACTGAGGGATACAGTAATGACTTACTTAACAATAGACCGGCAGAGTTGGCTTTGGCAGAACGTAGGAGTACCTGAAGCACACCATAAGCAGGTAGACCTATACTTATAAACCGCCCACTGTCCTTATTAGACTTGGCATCTTCAATGTCTTTCTGTGTTAGCACTCCTTCAGAAACCAATATTTCCCCATAGTGTTGACACTCGCTGAAAAAAGCATTAGCAACCTACAAGAGTACATACAAAGGGCAGAATACTTTTAACTAGAGAAAGAAAAATAGGGTCAGTGGGGGAAATGATTTCTAATCTCTTATTTGGATGCAGGATTTGAAATTTGAATGGAAGGAAGATGAGAGATAACATCTATTTTATTAATTTATTCTTACATTAGATGGCTGAAAAGAAAGTTAGGAAGAAAAAGAAGATGGCAGAAATACATTTGTTAATTGAACAATATACTCACTCTGTCCCGCTATGTTTATCCCACTTTTCCATTTCCATCCCACTATGTTATATACTCCCTCCGTCCCATTAGGAGGTTCCAATTGCGGTTTACGATGCTTGACTGAAGATAAAGCAACTTAATCCCTGTTCACACTCTGATTATTTTTAGTAAATGAAATTTACATATTCAGAAACTACATGAAAACCGCTACAAAGCCTGATAAACAAAATGTAAGTTTGATAAAAATTTGATATATAAAGTAAAGAATTAAGAATGATTTAAGTTGACCATATGAATAGTGGACGGGAACCTTTAAATGGGACGGAGGGAGTACCACTTTTACTTTTCTGTCCATCTCAAAATGTTTGGAACATGCCATATATGGTCATATCTCTTATGGTGGGGTTCAAAACCATCCATGATCCATCCTTTAAAACTTCAATATCAATTGCACAATTTCATGTTTCCTCATTTGTGCACAGCCTCCCCTTGTCCTAAATGAAGTGGACTGAGGGAGTACTTATTTTCTAGTTCAGGCCTTTTCAGATTACAAATATAGATAAGTTAGTAAAACATAATTCAGTAGCTCTCTTCCTTTTCCTCCAGAAAGATCCAAAAAAACAAGATCAAAGAGTTATACCTCAAGGTGTTTCAACTCAATCATAGGAGTGTTATGAGAAGAAAGTGAATTTCTAAAAGAGTTAGGCCTTGAGAAAGAAGCTCCATGAGAGCTGGTTCTTGAGTTGTCTTTCCTGTATTCTGGCCTGCATATATCTCACAGATTCACGTGTTAACCATAACAAAACAATAAATGAAAAATAATACTAGTAAGAAATATCAAGTTTGATAATGTCAGAGATTAGAAACCTTGGTAAGCACGATCCTTCAGGCATGTCAAGAACATCATTGCTATACTCGTCATATATGGATAACGATGCAATAATGTAGCAAAGCCCCAACCATAAAGAACTCTCCTGTATATGTTTTTTCAAGGAAATATAACTTCTCATGATTCAAGGAAACAACACTAACACACCAATAATTTTTTGGCGTCGTAAAAATCAAACCAACCTGATAGGCAACAACCCCTGCATATGCACCGAGGAAGATACTAGAGACCACTGAGCCTAACAATGCACCAACAACTGCCAATGGCCAAAGCAGGATGGCAAGCCCAGCAAAAGGAACACAGATTGTCTCCAAGAAAGGGCCCTCCCGTCCTATACAGTCATGAAACAAACGGTGCCATCCTTTGAAAAGCATGTAAGGGGTTTTGTAAGCAGCTAGCACGGTGATCACAGGGACATCAACCATTATTCCAAGCATGCTACCAATTAACATCCTGGGAAGATCAAGCAACCTGCATAAAAACGTGCAGATATTCTTTCCTGTGAACTCCCCTAAAAATCATGCTTACCGCCAAAAAATTTAACTTATTGATAGATAAAAATTTCGGATTAACCGACAAGTTAAAGATTTTTCTCATACAGACCGAATACTACGGTTTGGGTTTCTAGGTATCAAGAAGACTGAAGACTCGGGTTCTCCATTAGAGCACAAAGGTCAAAAACATTTTACAATTTTGTCATTCACTATGAATTTCAGTTTAACATCTCGTCTTAATATCATTAAAAATTGTAAATAAGGACTTATCCATTTGAAGGTCCTTATAAGTACTCAGTTCTAACTAGAAATATTTACCTTCAGCTCATTCTGCTTTCTTACTGAAATACAAAGCATTCATCTTGCTCATTCCTAAGCATATTCACATTTTATTTTTTCTTATTATTATATACTACGTACTACATAATAGTTATCTAATTTGATCCATCTTTGAGGGTTTTATGTTGAGTTATCCTATATAAAACTAAACACTCATATATCACACACATAAGGGTCTGGTGAACATCCGACATGACAATTTAAAGAATACAAGGGAAAAAAAGAAAGAAGATACCTCAACTCATAATACTTTACATCAGGGGGCTTTTGGAGACGAAGATCATCTAAAAATGAAAAGTAGGAATGAAAACAAAAATCCCCTACATCTCTTACAATAGTACAGCTCCGTTTGAGTACATCCCATGTCCCGTCCTACAAAATAACAGAATTTACATCCCTGAAACTGGTAAAAACGAAGGACAGTAAAGATCGTTTAGAAGGAATAGACAGCAAAAGAAGTTTAAAAGCATACATATATGCAGTGAAAAAATTTGTTGGTCTTTCCATGTTCAACAGCTCTAGAAGTAGCGAGTATGGGTGAAAGGAAGCCATATGCTGCCCCACCAACAATGCTGCTGACAATTGCAATCAGTACCCACAATAATAAAACAGCTGGAAGACATATGCCGATAACAGTTTTCAAAACTGGACCTAGTTGCTTTGTGCTGCATATAAAAGAAAAGGCAAAAAAAGACAATTAGTAGACCCAAACTAGAATGAGATAATCTGAAAGTGGAACTCTTAAAGAGTGTGCACCTGAAGATGGAGTAATATGTGTAGAACAGGTGTACTGGCAAGAGGCCCAAAATTACAGCCGTGTTTCCAACTGTAATTATAACAAGTACAAATGGACACAAAATGGCACCTGAAAAAACAATTTAGAAGCTAACTTTACCCACCTTTATTAAAATGATGCGAAATTATGGTTTTATAATATCAGAAAGAAGTGAATTAAATTAATTTGCCCATGCTGGGCATGGTCCTGAACTCCTGACAGTGTTAGAAACATGACTATAGTTTATAGCTTATAGGTATCAACCGGCCATGCTGAGAATCTATGCTATACATATCAGAAGCATACTTAGCAACGGTTTTTCTGTTGGACCACATGAAGGCCGACAATTTCTATGTTTTTCTAGACTACACCATTTTAGCAAGTAAAATAAAAGAAAAAAATTAGCAACGTGTCTTTTTGAAGGTTCATGCCTTTGTTTCTTTAGGGTTCTATATTATCACTGCAATTTAGCCATACCAATATGCCAAGGGGCTAAACTAGTATTAAACGAAAAAATATAACTCCAGAAAAAAATATACAAAAGAAATTGAGCCTGAAAAGAGAAAAAGAAGGAGAAGATGAAGCAACCTTTCAGAACACCAAGGATGAGAAGACCAATGAAGTAAGGTAAGAAACAAGTGAAGTTCCAGAGAGATGCGATAAACCCCCTCGGGGGTTCCATAGTCTTTTTAACTGCCCAGAAATGGGATCTCCCCTTCCAAGTAACAGTGTTGAAGATCCAGACCCAACTCTCTCACGTCTCAGTTCAGAATCTTGAGCCTTTCTGCAACCCACCAACGAGCACTGGGATTTGCTTCTTCCCTTCACTTAGATTCCTAAAAGATGCTCTCAAAGATTGAGTCTTTGGGAATACAACTTGTACAGTAACTGTTTGTCAGTTTATACTTGATGCATGATGATGATTACCCGAATTGAAGAGTAAAAGCCTCCATCGGGTCACGGGAAAAACTCTTTAACCAACTCAAATGACACACACAGACATTCATTCACAGAATCAAAGTGGAGTGAGAATGACGTGTATATCACTCCGTACTATTATTATTGTTATTAATTATAATTATTTATTATTTATTTTTATTTTTATTTTATTTTTATTATTACAATTAGGGTTGGACGTATTGGTTTTCGGTTCAATTTTTATCAGTTTCGGTTTGCTTCGTTTGGAAGGGGTTGGGGGATTATTACCAAACAAAAAACATACCCCCGTCCCGAATTGTAAGACACTTTACGGTTTAGGATGTTTGACCGACTATAAAACAAATTGATCTTTGTCAACACTCAAATTAGTTTTGGAAAATAAAATTTACAGATTCAGAAACTACATTATAACAGCTACAAAGTCTGCAAAAAACAATTCAACTTTCATAAAATCTTGATATATAAACTAAGAGATTAAGAGCGATTTGTGTTGACCAAGTGAATATGAAAAGAATCTTGCAAAATGGGAGTATTATTTTTTGGTTCGGTTCCGTTTAGTTCAGTTTGGTTTGATTTGAATTTGTTATTTTTTAATAAAATAGATAGTATGAAAGACTTTTTGAATTTCTTTAGTTCGCTTCGGTTTTGTTCTATTTTTATCGGTTTCAGTTCGGCTTAATACGGTTCGGAAGAAATACTACTAAACTCAAATCAAATTGCATATGATTCGGTTTTGGTTCGGTATAGTTCAGCTTGGTATGATTTGATTTGGTTAAACCAAACCGTTATGCCCGCCCCTAATTACAATCAAACAAATACTCCGTATATTGTCACAACAATTACTTTCTCCGTCTCTCAAAAGTTTTTCATTTTTCTTATTTAAGTGTCTCATTTTAAGGTTTTCATTTTATTTTAGAAAATAATTTACTGTCTTTAATTAAACATTTATTCAAATTTCTCTTTCTACTTATTTCTTATCAAGTCTCACAATTTTTCATACCCAAATTCATTTTTTCTTTAACTACTTTCACTTTATATGTTATTTTTTCTAAAATTTCTCATTCCTCTTTTTTACCCAATATGTAACCACTTACCTGAAAAAACTATGTCATTTACCATTGGAACCTTTCAATAGGAAGAAGGGTACTATACATAAGAGCACCTTCATTCATGCTACTTGAATAAACCGACATTTAATAACGCGTAGGTTGACATGTAGATTTTTTCCAAATAATTTCATACTTTCTAGATTACATCATTTATTATCTCACAATAATCAGATCTTTTGTGGGTCCTGTACTTAGTAATTAATACTAGTTTCATAATAATCTTGAGATAATTTGGATTCATATTTCAATCCTGAAATATTTTATCAAATAATCTCACCAAATAATTTTCATCACTCAATCATGATCCCCAAAATAATCCGCCACACCACCAACTTATTAATCCTCAAATAATCCATACACAAATACACAATGTCTAACTGTTTGGTTGCTGCTGTTTTCGTTTTCCGAATTCCAAACACAAGTTTATGCAATCCCTAAAACAGTACGCAATGTTTAACACACATACATTTGGATTGAGTTAAGAGTAAGCGTTATTTTGCTAATAGATCACTTAATTTGGTGATTGAGAGGTGTTTGGGTCTGATTCTTAAAAATGTTTTTGCTCTTTCAGAGTGTAGAAGCAAAAGTTGGAGTGTTTGGATGAAAGTACAGAAGTGATTCCGATGCTCTAATTTACTCCTAGAACCAGTTTTGTTAGAAGCTAGAGGAGATCAGCTTCTGAAAACTGATTATGATTCTGCTTCTGTTTTAAAAAAAAAGAAGCAGAAGCAGTTCCAAACATCCCTTAGTCTAGATTATTCCAATTAAATCTCATATGATTAGTTTGAGTGAGTATTAGTTGTCGAATACATAGTACTCTATTTTTCGAGTTATAAAGCGTATGAAAGAATTTAATCTTTCAACACCCAAATTTTGATTATGAACAATAGCTGGGTATCTATCTATCTATCTATATATATATATATATATATATAGTGTTAAGATCGGATACAAAGTGTGCTTCCGATACAAAATACAAATTCATCTCATCCGTCCAATATTATGCAATCAATGGTAGGATTTGTTAGGAGTTGTTTTGAACACTAATAAATGAGCCGTATGGTAGGGGAGTTTTTTTAGGAGTTTTTTTAGGATTCTAACCTCTACATGGAAATCATCTACACCCTTATTTCATTCATATGGATGGCCTAGATTAATTTGCACTTTGTAAATTAAGATTACTTTGTATGTGATCCTATATATATATATACATACATATATATATATACATACATATATATATATATATATATGTAAAAGAGGAACTTTTTAAGAGCATACGTCGCGCCACATAATCCTGCCATGTCATCATATATTACAATTATTTAATTACTATTTATACATTTTATTGTTTTTATTACATTCTATTTTTATTGCATATTGATATGGAAACAAAAGATCATATGATAGAATCCACCTTATTTGGTAACTTTTTCAGAATCTACTACTTACTTCGTATTAATATGGATATTTATTAAAATATATATAAAAGAGGAATTTTAAGAGCATCTGACGTGCCACATAATCCTGCCATGTCATCATATATAACAATTATTTAATTACTATTTATACCTTTTTTTATTACATTCTATTTTTTATTACATATTGATATGGAAACAAAAGACCGTCGCGTATGATAAAATCCACCTTATTTGGTAACTTTTTCAGAATCTACTACTTACTCCGTAGTAATATGGATTGTTATTAAAATAAGCAATTATTGCAACCACAACAATAAATATTCATCCGTGCACATAGACTTTATTTAATTTAATTATTTTTTATACTTTTATTTTTATTACATTCTATTGAGAAGTGAATTATCCGTGTTTTGCGCACCTAACAAATAAATCATCCAAGTTCCTATCAATTTTGTTCTTCAAAGTTATTTTATAAATAAAGTAATAATAGTGTTCCATTTCCTAAAAAAGTACGGAGTAATATTTTATTTTTCTAAACTCAATTTTTTGAATGTTTTCTAAACTCAATGTGATAATGACTAAAGTTATCAGACTTATATTTTCAATTGTGGTAATACTTCGTATTTTTCTGCATCATCATACCATTCTTTCTTAATTGTTGAGATAATGATGAAAATTATAACCACAAGATTTTTTAACTTAAAAATGAAATTGATATATACTATTAGACATTCATATATGAAAACATTTAAAACTTCTGATCAAGTATCTTACCTTTATGAGGATGGAAATGGAAATTCATATCATACATATATGAATACGTTTAGCCTAGCAAAAAAAGTAAACATGTTTAGTTGTTTCTTTATTTTTACAACTACAATTTAGATTTTCCTTCACTTTTGACATAGATTCCTAATCTAAATTAGGAGATCTTCATACATTTAGGGTGTTTTTAATTGGACTGGTTTCAGTCTTAGACAAGATCGGATCAAATATCAATCATAATTATTATTATTATTATTATTATTATTATTATTATTATTATTATTATTATTATTATTATTATTATTATTATTATTATTATTATTATTATTATTATTATTATTATTATTTTTGTTGTTGTTGTTATTGTTATTATTATTATTGTTGTTGTTGTTATTATTATTATTATTATTATTATTATTACTATTATTATTATTATACATAAAATAGACATCTTCCAGACCAAGTTAGAAATGAACATGTCAATCTAATTAAAAATATTCTTATTAATGACATTTTCAATGTGACGAAATAAATGAGTAAATTGTAAAAATGATCCCTTTTTTACATTTCAATGTGACAAAATAATGAGTACAATGTAATAGCTCACTAATAAATTTACAAATACTTATTTCCAATGTTCTAAAAGGCGCTAGGCGCTAGTCGGGCGCCAGCCCAACGCCTAGCGCCTAGGCGGCTAGGCGGGCGCCTAGTCGGGGACTAGTCAGAAACATAGAAATTGCATTTTTATCTATATTTTGCATAAATATGATAAGTAATATTGTATTTTTGTGTGTATAAAATACATATATACATATACATTAACAAACATGAATGATAGAATTATCACAATTTTTTAATAGAATTATCACATTTAATCATACGTGGTATATGATAACTAATCACTTAACTTCATTATGTTATAAATATAAATAATGATAAAATTTAGGTATATATGCAAACTATATAGATATATCTTAATTTACAACTTCATTTCTTTATATCCATTGCTAAAGCTAACATACGTGTATCGCTTAGAAAATTAAAATTAAAAAGTGAAGTAATGTTCAGCGAATCTAGACGGCCTAGGCGACCGATTAGGCGCTCTAGGCGGGCAACTAGGCGCCATAGGTGGCTGACTAATTCACCTAGATGGCAAACCAATTAGTCGGAGCGCCTAGACGAAAATCGGGGCGCCCGACCACCGCCTAGCGCCTAGGCGGGGACTAGTCGGGCGCCTAGAACGATTTTTAGAACATTTCATACCACATGTTGAATGAGAAATATTTAAAAATAGTTTTTTAGATGCTGAATGAAGTAATATAGAGGATGTGAAATTAATTAAGAAACTTTTGTATGAATTCTTTAAAATCGGGTTCATAACCATTATGTTTAGTTGAGATGCTTATGTAGAAGTCCAATTATATATGATTTCAAAAATATCAAATATACAGTTAGCTAAATTATGTACTACCCGTGCATCGCACGGGCTTGAAAGCTAGTTTAAATAATTATTAAGACTAAAGTTATCGAATTTGACGAAAATAACTACTCGTATTTTTAAATTTTTCTATAAATTTTTTCCTATATTTGATTAATAAAACAAAATTTTAATTTGGTCATATTGACTTTCTATAGGTATAAGAAAATATAAATTATGTGGGACAATTATGACTAGATCAATGTGATCTAATCATATTGAAATACAGGGTATTGGATCTCCATATTTTAAGACGGAAAAAAGGTTAGATAGATCC